CAAATCTCATGCTGAATTGTAATCCCCAGTGTTGGAGGTGGGGCCTGGTGGGAGGTGTTTGGATCGTGGGGGCAGATCCCTCATGGCTGGGTACTGTGTTCATGATAGATCTGGTCACACCTGTCATCCCAGCATTTTGGAAGGCCGAGGTAGGCAGATCACTTGAGGCCAGGAGTTTGAGACCAGCCTGGCAACATGGCAACATGGCAAAATCCCCTCTGTACTAAAAATACAAAAATTAACCAGGCGTGGTGGTGAGTGCCTGTAATCCCAGCTACTCGAGAGGCTAAGGCAGAAGAATTGCTTGAACCTGGAGGTGAAGGCTGCAGCGAGGCAAGATCGTGCCACTACACTCCAGCCTGGTAGACAGAATAAGACTCCATCTCAAAAAAATAAATTAAAAGTTTATGGCACCCTGCGCCCTGTGTCTCTTGCTCCTACTTTCACCGTGTGATGTACCTGCTCCCCTCACCTTCTGCCATGATTAGAAACTTCCTGAGACTTCCCCAGAAACAGATGCTGATGTCATACCTCCTGTATAGCCTGCATAACCATTAGCCAATTAAACCTCTTTTCTTATAAAGTTCCCAGTCTCAGATATTTCTTTATAGCAATGCAAGAATTGCCTAACACAATAACTGATTACTAAAATAAGGAATAAGGAGGTAGACAAGTAATGTAACTGTCCAGTAATTTTGAGGCCCATACGTTAAGCCTAAAGAGTTTAATCATGATTCAGGAATAAAGGCCCACACAATATACAGTAGAAGTTAAACTGGAAACGTAAGAAAAAAAAAAAGAAAAAGGCCAGGCGCTGTGACCATCCCTGTAATCATAGTACTTTAGGAGGCTGAGGTGAGTTGATTGCTTAAGTCCAGGATTTCGAGACCAGCCTGGGCAACACGGCAAAACCCCGTCTCTACAAAAAATACAAAAATTAACTGAATGTGGTAACACATGCCTCTAGTCCCAGCTATTCAGGAGGCTGATGTGGGAGGATTGCTTGAGCCCAGGAGGTCAAGGATGCAGTAAGCAAGATTGTGCCACTGCACTCCAGCCTGGGCGATGAGCAAGACCCTCTAAAAAAAAAAAAAGAGAGAGAGATTAAATGCCCACTTTTTTTTACTTTAATAGTATATGTATACTACATATATATATACACTACATATGTATACCATGACCATAAGAAAATACATTTAGAAAACATATACCCAAGTATTTAGATCGCGGCATTATGTCTTGAAGTTCTTGGTTTACAAAATAAAAAAAAAAAAAGAGAGAGAGAAAAAAAGAATGAAAGGAAAGAAAATCTGTAAATGCCTGTAATAGCAAGGGTGAATTTTCCACCATTTCCCCTGTGACTTTAGACAATCTCAGCACGTTGTTTATGTTGTTCTCAGCACAAGCTCTGGCCGGGGAACCGCAGGGTCCAGAGTTCAAGGTTCAAGTTCAAGAATTCAGTGTTGGACACCTGACCCAGAAGGCCTCTGGCTGTGATAGGCTCCTTTTGCCATTGAGCCCTTGCTGTGTAGGGTAGCATTGTAGACCCCCCCCAACCTCCCCGCCACATAGGATGGGTACTGGTTTATACTCATTTATATAGTCAGCTCTCCACTTCAGTATAAACTTCTGAGGACAAATGGGACTTAATAAAAGGCTTACAAAGTTAATAAGTGTGATTTGGAAAGCCAGAGCCGAGCAGAAAGAGAATACCACTTCTGAATTTTATTTCATCAAGGAAGTCTTTGATTGTGATTTATATTCGTGTGAGAATAACAAAAAAGAAAAATTAGCATGGCAAAAGTACAATATATTTAACCTAATGTGCTTTTTATCCTAGATATAAGAGGACACAGGGCAAAAGGAAAAAAGCCCACTTAACGTGAACAAAGTGAGCAGACAACCTACTCTTTCCCTAAATAAAGGTTGGCAGAGAAGAGAAAGAGAATAAATATAGGTAAATGAAAACTTTGGTTGGAGAAGCTGATGTATCTGGATGATAAAAACATGTTATATGAAAGAAGCAGAGAGACAGGAAGAATGACTGAAGAGAGGGAGGGAGAGAGAGGAGGCCAGGGTAGGGGGACAGCGTGAGAGAGGGGCTGGAGGGGGAGAGAGGAAGAGAGGTAGGGGACCAGACCCTGCAGGGCCTCTCAGGCCATCAGAAAGATGGGGGGCTTCTCCCCTGAGTGAAGCAGGAGCCCTGGTCGCAGTGGGTAGAGCAAGGGCAGGATGGATGTGGACGGTACTGGGGCAGCAGGACGCACTTCATTTGGGAGTGTGAGGAGGAGATGCGTTGACAGGGAAGTCCTCAGCACAATGACACACAGCAAGCACCAAGCCCACCACTTATGGCATGAGCCCTATCCTATCCCCCAATACCTGCAGGCCCAGAGAGGTAAAGCGCCTGCTTAAGGTCACAGCCATAGAGACACACAGACGCATAGAGACATTTGTCTAGAGGACCGTGGGGAGCGGGGCTAAGCGTGTGGGAAGTCCAGAGGCAGGTGGTCGGCTCCTGGAGGGCAGGGGTGCCGGGCAGTAAAGGGCAGAGAGTACATGGTGACAGTGCACCCTTGGCCTCTAAATCTGTTTCTTACCTAGGGGATGGGGAAGTAGCAGTGACACCTCCTACATGAGTCATGTAGGTGGCACACACACATAGAAACAGACACACACAGATAGACACACACATACACACAGAGACACAGAAATAGACACAGACACACACAGAGACACACACAGACATACACAGACATACACACAGACGCAGACATAGAGACATGGATACACAGAGAGATGTCTAGAGACACAGAGACACACAGAGAGACATCCAGAGACGCAGAGAGATATAGAGATACATACAAAGGCCGGGCGCGGTGGCTCAAGCCTGTAATCCCAGCACTGTGGGAGGCCGAGGCGGGTGGATCACGAGGTCAAGAGATCGAGACCATCCTGGTCAACATGGTGAAACCCCATCTCTACTAAAAATACAAAAAATTAGCTGGGCATGGTGGCGCGTGCCTGTAATCCCAGCGACTCAGGAGGCTGGGGCAGGAGAATTGCCTGAACCCAGGAGGTGGAGGTTGCAGTGAGCCGAGATCGTGCCATTGCACTCCAGCCTGGGTAACAAGAGAGAAACTCTGTCTCAAAAAAAAAAAAAAAAAAAAAAAAAAAGGAGGCACACAGTTACAGACACACAGAAAGACACAGACACACAGAGACAGACACACACACACATTCATACACACAGAGACACACACTTAAACACACATAATACATTAGTTAACTGAACTGCCAAATTGTCAAAATAACAAATTCCAGAACGAACTAAGTGTTGATGAAATTCTTCCTGTAGAAATGAACAGAAGAGGTGACACCAGGGCTAACCTACTCGGGAATAACCTGGGTAAGCTCTTCCTAAGACAGGCTGTCACAATCTTCCCAAGGAAAAAGAGAGAGAATATGACATTATGATTAAAATAAAGGGGTATTTCCTTGACTTCCCACACCATTTTCCCAGGCTGAAATCACACGGTGAGATGCACGTGCAGGGACACATTAGTTTTCACCCCACGCACCATGTGGAGGGCCGGCTCTGACCCCAGTGGCCAGAAGCCCAGAGCAGTAGTACTCCAGCCCAGGCTCCTCATCTAAGACCTTTCATGATTCCTGCTGCCTGGGCCCACTCCAGAACTTCTGATATCACTCACCTGGAGGAGACCTGGGCATGGGAACTTTAAACATCTTCACAAGGGTCCCAATGTACAGTCTCAGGTCACAAACTACTGACTTAAAGGGTTTTTCATGCCCAGCATTTGTTATGGAGAGAAAACAGCAAGTCAAGGAATCTGCATAGTGATTAGCAAATAGTGGGTGCTCTGCGTATGTTCCCTGGAGGGCTGAAGCATCCAGCGTGGCTTCCCTCCTGCTCTTAGACTTGCACTTTTCCATGCATTTGCTTTCTAGCTTTGCCGTTCTTTACTCCAAGCTTGTATGCTTTTGTAAATCAATAATAATGGAGAAGATTTGCCAGCTGTTCAAGGACCCAAAGATCAGCTTCTTTTGCTTCCTTTTTCTTTACCTATTCAAGGAACAGGAAACACCCATAAATAGCCACGGAAAGGAAATGCCTCAGTGGGGGCTGAATCTGCGAGCTGAAGCCCGCAGGGCTGAGCTGCTGAGCCCTCCAAAACCCCTTCAGAAGTCCCTAAGTTCGGCAGCCTGGATCCCACAGTGGGTTGTGGTAACAGAGAAGCTGGGGAGGCCCTGGGGGCTGATGGTGCTGGTGGGGGTAGGGGGTGGTCCTGGGTTCCTGAGCTAGCTGGCCTTAGAGCTCCATTAGGTCAAGGTCATGGGTACAAGTCATCCTAGTGACCTCACACCGACACAGCCACCAGGCCCTGCCTCTGAGTGTTTCAGAGAAAACTCCAGACAGAGGGGTACGCAAACACTCCAAGGGCTGCTTTATCTAGGGTAAAAGCCTCGTGACACTCTGTGAGGGCCAGGTCAGGGTGCTTGGACTGCTGATAGGGACACCAAGGCCAAGCTCAGGGTCCCTCTGTGCTGGTCCTAAGCCACAGAAGCCCCTGAATTTCTGGACCCCACAGCATCCTGAGGCTCGGCTCCCCTCCATATCATCCCCGGGACTCTGCCTGGGGCTCTCCTGGCTAGACACAGAGCAGGAGCCAGGTAGCTCTACAGCCTAAGGAAGACCCCCAGGAAACTGAAGCATGGAAAGCACTGGGAAATCCCCACTCCAGCTCTAAGCCTGCTGGAGCAGGGTCCCAGCAACTGTTTCCCCAACCCAGAAGCACAGCACCTGCCCGGCCAGGAACTTAGAGAAATGAAGGCCTCCCCTAATCCCAGGATAGTAATACTATTTTTCCCCTGTTTACAGACAGGAACCCTGGGTCTCAGAGCCATTTGGTCACATGACCAGGGCCCTCTCTGCAAAAGATGCAGAGCCAAGTCCCCTGACCCCAAAGTGCAGGCCTCCCAGTGCTGTCAGAGCACCTGCATGGTGGAGGGGGCTGAGGGCTTTCTTCCCAGCCCAGGTCATCTCTCCCCACGCCTCAGCCTTGAGCATCTACCCAGGAAGGTGAGGAGATGAAGGCCTGGAGAAGGATCTGGAAGGAGCAGGTCCACATGGGGCATCAACTACTTCATTTGTAAGCTAAGCCAAGCTGGGTTTGGAGTCCGGGGGGGGCCCTCGAGGGCAAGCCTCTGGGCTGGGAGCCAGACTGATCTCTGCCCACTGAGGTCAGGATGAGTGTGTTCTTTTCTGCCTCCCTCTTTCTTAGAAGTTCTCCCAGCCCAGCACTTCCTGAGATTTCTGCTGCAGTGCCTAGCAGTCTTCTTAACCCCTCACCCCCCACTCCTTTCGAGGCAACTCAGAACCCAAAGGGGAAGGGTCACAGGTATACAGGTGCCCATGGGTTCCAGGGAAAGAGAGCATGCATCCGGGACTCTGGAGGGCTCTGTTTCAGCTTCATCTCTTAACCTATGCCTTAGACGAGCCACTTTGCCGCTTAGAGCCTCAGTCTCCTCAGCTGTCAAATGGAGTTGGCAATGACAACAGCCTGGTAGAGCATGCTTGCAGATGGAAAAAAGACAGACCTTGATGGGGCACCAAGCACCTCCTCTGGGCCAGGCACTGGCATTACCGATTGATGTGCATTTCCTATTCATTCTTTGCAATCACCTAGTGAGGTAGACATTAATATTTCTGCCATTTTATTGTCATGGGACTAAAGCAGAGAGGGGAGGTAATTGTCCAAGGTCACACAGCTGGCAGGTGGTAGGGCTGGGAGTAGGTGAGTGGAGGCAAAAAGAAGTCTTTCATTTGGCCTCTGATGAGTATTCTCAGCACTTCAGGGGCTTCTGGTAGACTGTGGCTCACGCAGAGGCCAGGCCTGGCCCATTCACTGTGCCTCCCAGCACTGGCACCTAGCAGGATGTCTGGTGCAGAGTTGGTACTCTGAATGGCAAGTGCGTAACAGTCCAGACATAGGGAAGGAAATTCCCTGGGCTCTGGAATGAGGACTCCCCTCCCTGCCCCAAATCTCATTTCCCAGCTCTGTCACTTCCCCGCTCTGTCACTGCATGATTGCTTCTGCCTCTTGGAACCTCTGTCTCCTCATCTATAAACTACAATCATGACAATAGTATCACAAAGGGGATTGTGAGGATTCGAGGGTCAGAGGTGCATACAAAGTCCCCTTACTCCTGCAACCCTTGATAAATAGTACCTGCCAACACATTATAAATAGTACCTGGAAATGGGGAACTGTCTGCAAAGGGATTTGGAAGAGGAGACCCAGTGTCTTTGGATATGTTATGCTGCTATTGAACTTCCCGAGTTCATAGACAGAAGGAGATCTTTCCTAGGTCAGGATGAAGGTGTGAGGGCCTCAGATCAGAGGAGTGACTCACAGGGACATTTGATGTCACCTTGTGAGCCAGCATGTGATGGGGCCAACCAAGGATCTGAGACACAGCTTGAGACTCGGGTGGGGTCAGCCTGGGAGCAGGCCGCCTGCCTTGGACCAGAAGGACCCGCTAAGGGCTGCCAGCTGGATTCTTAGACCGGAGCCCAAGGCTGATGCAAGCCAGGTCAGGGGCCTCAGGCAGGTCCTAGCCCCACTGCCTTGGCCAGCTTAAAGGACCTGCCAGGGCCACTCCACCCACACCCAGCTTCTTCATTCTGATAGGGAAAAGCAAGGCCCAGTGAGGGGCAGGGGCTGGCCAAGGTGCCCAGCAGGCATGTGGCAGGGACCAGGATGCCTGGCTCTTGACCCCAGCCATGCCCCTCACCTGGCTGGACGCTCCAATTGAGGCCACCCTGCCCACCTCCAGTGCCCAAGAGAGGAGAGACTGGACAGGTTGATTTCTGCCCCATAATTGCCAGAACCAAGCTGATCTTCCCTGCCTCAGGCCGTGGCATGCGGCCGGGCCTGGAAATACCAGCTGCACAAGTGAGACCCTATTTGGTGCTGGGCCCAGGAATAGGATGTTTGGAGCCTTGCAGGGCTGCCCACCAGGAGACCATGAGGTCACAGGGGTGGAAACTATGTCAATCAGTGAGAGGGGTGACACAGGCATGATTCATTAGAGTAGCAGGCTGGTGTGGAGGGTTGCAGGCTTTGGGCCACACTGTCTAGGTTTAAATCCCAGCTCTACCAGGGACCAGCTGTGGGGCCTTGGGAAAGTGCCTTAGCCTCTCTGTGCTTCAGTTTGCTGGGTTCTGGAGTACTCACCCCATAGGGTTGCCATGAAGATTAATGAGATGTAACCATTTGGCACAGCCCGGAGTACGGTCAGCACTCACCCAATGGTGGGCATTGTTGCCCTCCACCGTCATTGTCTCTGAGCCATGCACGTGCCTATGTATGCATGTGGGGTCCCAGAGAGCTGCACTGCTTCCAAAGAGGAGCTGTCACCTCGACTCACTGGGGCAGACTCAGCTCTTCCCTGCTGCTGCTGGTTTTTAAATTTGTATATATTTATGTATGTATGTATGTGTGTATCAGAAAGGGCTTTGCTCTTGTCACCAAGGCTGGGGTGCAGTGGCAATCCTAGCTCACTCCATCCTTAAACTTCTGGGCTCAAGCAATCCTCCCACCTTAGCCTCCCAAGTAGCTGGGACTATAGGCGTGTGCCACCACGCCTGGCTAATTTTTTCGTCTTTTTGGTCTTTTATAGAAACAGGATCTCACCGTGTTGCCCAGGTTAGTCCTGGGCTCAAGCAATCCTCCCACCTCAGCCTCCCAAGTAGCTGGGACTATAGGCATGTGCCACCACACCTGGCTAATTTTTTCATCTTTTTGGTCTTTTGTAGAAACAGGATCTCACTGTGTTGCCCAGGTTAGTCCTGAGCTCAAGCAATCCTCCCACCTTGGGCTCCCAAAGTACGGGGATTACAGGCATAGGCCATGGCATCTGGCATCTGCTGCTACTGTTAATTTCTTCCAGATCTTTCCAGATGACTCCATTCTGCCTGAAGTGCCTTCATTCCTGCCCTGGGCTGCCACACAGCAATCCTGGGGGTGGGGGCACTGAGGCCCATAAGCACCGATGGCCCCAGTCTGCTGGGTGAATTGAGGTCAGCCAAGAGCCCTGGGCGGTGGAGCAGGGCTTCCATCCTGGCTCAGCCTGTTGTTTGTGGCAGCCTCGGGCGGGGCATCTCTCCCCTTGGGTCCTCCACATTCTCCGTGGTAAGGTAGGGGATGATCTAAAATAAGATTGTGATCTCCACTGGCTCTTTGATGGCGGAGACTCCGTGATTCTATTTTTGTTCTTCTGTTAATAGCATCGTTACCCTCACAATAGTGAGCACTTACTGAACACCTGCTATATGCCAGAGACTGAACTTGGTGGTTTGTTTCATGGTAGCTATCAGTTACTGCATGCTTGGATCCACCAGCCATGAGCACGAGGCAGGAGCATCTCATTTAATCATTACAGCTCCCTTCTGGGGAGGAATTATGGTCATCCCCGCCATAAGGAGGAGCAATGAAGGTTCCACATGATGAGATGCCCTCATTCTGCCAATTTGGACGTAATCACCAAGCCATGACCAAGTCCCTACCACTCTGTGAGGGAGGAATTTTCATCTCCCATTTACTGATTAAAGAAAAAACCCGCTGCCCAGAGAGGGGCAGTGACTCAGCCCACATCCCACTGTTTGAGATGATGACCTCTGAGGACATTTGGCCTTGACTTTCTATCTTCTTTGATCCTGCTAGTCTGTGCTGAGGCTTCGAAGAAATGTGCCTGGGCTTTGTAAATCTCAGTTCCTCCTCAGAATTCCTGTTCAGTTACTCTGGGCCTACAGTGGACTCCAGGTAACTAAGGGTCTAGCCTTTGGCCAGAGGTCTGACCACCAGATAAACTTGAGCCCTAACTAGGGAAGAACGGCACAGATCACGGAAGGTCACACCCTCTCCACTGCTGCTCAGGCAGGCGGTTCATCCCACCTGGGCCACCTGCTCTGTGCTGCACCTACGTTATCCTCTTTGTGGCCTGGGACAATTTGCCGGCTTGAGATGAGGATGTTCATTTTGTAGACAAGGAAATTGAGGTCGAATGGTTTATCCAAGCAGGGAATCGTTGACTGGTGCCCCAGGCAAATCATATTATCAAGGACACTTTTTAAAATTCCAGCAGACTGGAGAGGGTGGGGTGTTTTTCCACTTTTGGGTAAGGAATTTGGGCTTTAGGCTGCAGGCCCTGCCTTTGGCCAGGCAGAGAAAGAGGTCGCATCAGAGATGCAGCTATGGTTCGAAGGTCCCTCCCTGAGAAGCCTTTTCCTTCCAGTGGCAACCATGGAAGGCCGGCTTCCTTGCTCTTTCCAGGCCTCTCTTATACTCACCTTTTACCCCCAAGGGCAAAGAAAAGAGGAAGCCACTGTTTGCTTTCTGAAGGCCCAGGCAAAGTGAAAATAAGAGCACCCATGTGAAGGATGGTGACTCATTCTCTGACGGAGAGACCAGGCCAACTAAAGCAGAGGGGCCTTGGGAAGACCTGGGCTTTCATTCCTTTTGGGACCAAAATGAATCACTGATCTCATTAAGTCACACCGGCCAGTCCCAAACTTTCCTTGGTAGAACCACTGCAAGCATCGAATCTTAGGTGAGGCCCCATCAGTGGGCACTAGCAAGAGCGAAAAGGCTGGGCTTCTCCTCTCTCAGGAGGCCAGACAGGTCCTTGTTCTCTTTGGAGCAAAGTGGAAACTGGGACCAGAAGAGTCAGGTCAGGGACAATGCCTCAAACAAGACCAGTCAGCAAGGTGGCAGCCCCTACCTAAGCACACTAGTGCTTTGGGACACCATCCAACTCGTCCACTCATTTGCCCATGGGTTCAGGCAGGTAGTCAGCAAGCACTGACAGCATGACCAGCTGGTGCCAGGTGTTCTACGTGCCATTTCTTCTCTAGACCTTGCTTCAGAGGAAGAGGAGCCTCAGTTCATAGACAAGAAAACCAAGGTGGCTGGGCACGGTAGCTCACACCTGTAATCCCAGCACTTTGGGAGGCTGAGGGGGGCGGATCACCTAAGGTCAGGAGTTTGAGACCAGCCTGGCCAACATGGTGAAACCCCATCTCTACCAAAAATACAAAATTAGTCAGGCGTGGTGGCAGGTGCCTGTAATCCCAGCTACTTGGGAGAATTGCTTAAACCCGAGAGGCAGGGGTTGCAGTGAGCTGAGACCATGCCATTGCACTCCAGCCTAGGTGAGAAGAGCAAAACTCTGCCTCAAAAAAAAAAAGAAAGAAAAAAAAACCAAGGTACTGGCCTGGCTCACACAGCCAGGAATCGATCCCAGAGCTGGCTGATCCTGAACCTTTCTTCTTTTGATGCTTTCTCTACAGATACCTACTCTTCATTTGCAGGCACTGAAGGCCCATTTCACACATTGCCATCTGGGTTGGTCTAGGAGAGCCTAGAAAGCCAGAGATTTTTCTTGACAAAGCAGCCTGGGTTATTTCAGAGGAGGAACCTGCTGCAAAGAGAAGCAGAAACTTGGGCCCATCCTCCAGGGCCTCAGCACTCCAGAGGCCAGATGGGTAAGCCTGACGTCATCCACCAAGTCATGGCCCCATTCCAGGCTGTGCTCCGCTGGCTTGCGAACCCTGTTCCTCCATGCTCTCTCCTCCTCCCTTTCCTCGGCATGAAGGAGACTGAGTGGTGCTGGCAGCCACTTCCCAGCATCTGGCGGAACATTCTGCCCCATAGTTGAGCTCTTCTCACTCCCCAGCTTTCCCTAGGGATGGCCGGTGACTCATATTTCCATTTTCAATGTTGGGCCAGGAGCCCAATCTTTCCATGACCACCAGCACTGGCTATATAGTGTACGATGTGATATCAGATAGGTCCGAGTTCAAATCCTCCTCTGCTGCTTGTTGGCTGTGTGATTTCAGGTAACTAACTCACCCTCTCTGAGCCTCTGTTTCCCCATTTGGAAATGCAAACCACAATGATCGACTCTGATGTCTTCCTTCTTGCAAAAGTCCCTTCCCTTTTGTCTGAAGCTCTGAAAAATGAACCATTCCCTCTATCAGCTTTCTCTTTTATATATTCACCTTTCATAAGCCAAGGAAAGAGGAAGCTGGTATTAGAGTTTTTGAAATGGAATAGTAATATTTATATGCCATTTACTATGTGTAAAGAATCTATTATCAGGTGTTATTATTGGCCCCCAGCCTGGAATACAGTGGTGCAATCTCAGGTCACTACAACCTCCGCCTCTGGGGTCCAAGCGATTCTCCTGCCTCAGCCTTCCAAGTAGCTGGGACTACAGACACGTGCCACCATGCCCAGTTAATTTTTTTGTATTTTTAGTAGAGATGGGGCTTCATCATGTTGGCCAGGCTGGTCTTGAACTCCTGACCTCAGGTTATCTACCCACCTTGGCCTCCCAAAGTGCTGGGATTACAAGCATGAGCCACTGCACCCAACCTATTCGCCCCATTTTATAGGTGAGGAAACTGAAGCCAAGAGAGGTAAAGTAACTTGCCCAAACCAGAAAGTGGCACAGCGAAGATTCACACCTAGGCTGTCTGGTTTCAGCGTCCATGCTCTTAAACCCAATATGGAGAAATGGAAACAAGATGAAATGGGTAAGGCCATGGCATAGTGCTGGGCCCATAGTGAACTCCAAATAGTGTTTACTGCTAGTACTATTACTTCTCCAGCATCATCTCTGAGTCTCATCCTTGCACACATGAAGAAGCAGGGCAGGGATCCCTGTTCTTCTGGCCAAATCCAGCAGTCAAGACGCTCTTGAGTTAAAGAGGGCCAACTGGTTACCCCAAATGTGGGGTGCCTTTCATGCCACTTGAATGTTCTTGTCAAGTGGCCTGCCAAAGACGGATGCTCTCCCTTGTTCTTAGGGTGGGAACAGGAGACGAATTGCAAGTGGGGTGCTGGGAGGAGGAAGAGAGGTCACTGAAAGGGTGAGAGCCTGCTGGCACCCACCATGGAGGAGGAAGGCAAGAGGGGATGAGGGGTGTGGCAGTGGTTTTGGTGAACGCTGAAGAACCCTGGCCTCCCAGTTTCCCATCTCCACTCCTTCTCTCCTCCCCAAATCAATACACTAGTTGTTTCTACCCCTGAAACAAACAAAAACAAAGATTGCCACCCTGTAGATGTCAGCAGATTGTCAGGTGACCCTCCAGCCCAGGAAGCTTGGTTCCAAGAGGCCAGGTTGAACCACTGGGCCTTCTGCTTCTTTGAGAGATCATTCCTGCCAAAAGGTGAAGCTTGCGATTTGGGCCCCAAAACCAAAAAACCAATGAGATGCTGGTAACAGAAGCCCTACTAGAGACAAAGTATCCCTTTGAGGTTACAGGTGAAAGGGTGGGCACAGGGTGATCAGGAAAAGACAAAAAGAAAGCAGGGCTGGCAATATGGATGACAGACAAGACTGAATTTGCGAGTGATAAGGGGACCACTCTGTCTCCATGTGCCACCTCCACCTGGCCTCTCATTTTTATTATCCTTCCTAGACCGGGGGCAAAGAGCTGATGTTACATAGACATCCACCTCATCTCGTTCTTCTGTGACCCCTTTGTGGCCAAAGGCCCGCCTTCTTCATTCCCCACGAGAGATGAGCCAGACTCCAGGTCTCACACTTTAGCTAGCATTCCCTCTCTGGGGCTGCTGGAAGGTTTGGGAGGTTGAGATCTTTGCTGCTTGGTCTTCTTTGCCAGACAGGGCCATTGTCCCCTCTCTCTCCCTATTTCTGAGCTTCCAACTCTGCCTGTTCTCAAGGCACTTGGGAGCTTGTCTCCCGGAAGGAATGACAGCGAGAGTGGACACCCAAAGCCCCTCTCCTAGCTGGTTGCTCACATGGCCATCTCCAGCACTGGTCTTTGAGTGCAGGTCCTGGCCCCCAGTAGATATCCATAAACAATTTTTTGTGTTTTATTTTGATGACCTCTGAATCATTCATTTTTCTACTTTTGAACTGATTCACTCTTTTGTGTTGCATAAACTCCGTTGAAACCTTAGTCTATAAAATTTTGTTATTTTAACTTGAAAAAAGTGATGAGGAGGTCTTATCTGGACAGTATTCATCCTGAGCTATACAGATCATTCTAGAAAATTTCCTATTGAATATTTTCAGCTAGAAAATAAGCCCACTGGAAGCCCCCAAGCCCATGCCTGACCCTAAGTTCCTTCATTCAATGAGCATTGATCAAGATTGCTTCCAAGCATTTGATGTTGTAAGAAACGCAAAACCGTGTAAGGCTTGAAGCTGCTAGCACTATACAAAGGACAGGAAGTCCTCCAGCCATTGGTCGATGTCTGTAGAACATCAGCTATTTGCTCCCAGATATTGATTACACACAGTGCAACAGGAAACAGAACACTTCGTGGAGCTCATAGTCTCCAGCTGGGGGTGGGGGGGTGACAGACATCAAAACCATAATCCCAGCGAGAGCCAAGCACAGTGCCAGGCACCCCATGCAAACAGCTGCCTTTGAAGACACTTGCTTCAGAGTCGGCTGGGCTGGCTAGCACCTCAGCTGCATTACTTTCTTTGTATAACCTTGAGCAAAAGGTGTAAACTCCCTGAGGCTTAGTTTCATTTTCTGTAAAATGGAATAATAATCGCTTTCTTCCTAGGGTCGTGATAAAAACGAAAAGCAATGACCCAAGTAGCTGGTGTATCATTATTATTATTATTAATGTTATCATTATGCTAATGATCATGACAATACAATAAATACCAGATGAATGGCACAGAAACGGAGGAGGGAGGGAATACTTCTTGCTGGAGAGAGGGTGGTATGAGGATAATTTTCGGGAGAAGGTGGGTGTTGGTGCTGAGCCCTAAAGGAGGGGTTGGATTTCTATACAAGGAAGTGGCGAAGAGTGAATCAGTTCAAAAGTAGAAAAATGAATGATTCAGAAGGTCATTAAAATAAAACAAATAAAGAATCTAAACCAAATGACTGGGTTCCTTAAAAATAGGACATTGCATTGCCAAGCTGAGAAGCATTAGTCAGGCGGAGGAGGTGGTTACTGGGAAATTTCGCTCAGTTCAGCATTATTGAGAAGTTGTGGGTTCCTGAAGCATTCAGTGGGAGTTGTGCAATCCTGAGGGGTTAAGGTAACACAAACCCTGGTCCAGGGAGTGACAGGGAAGTGTTTAGGACGGGGTCAATATTAGAAGCTCCTTGAAAAGCAGAGCAGCCTCCAGGGAAAGTGGTTAAGTGTGCTGGAGGAGTCTGGGGTGGATCTACAGGCCAGGCGGCATCTGTCTGGGGAGCCATGACAGAGAACATCTGGAAGGCAGGGACAGTGCAGCCCGGGGTCTGGGTCTGATATGTTCATTCTCCCTACAGTGTCTTGCAGTCTCTCCTGGCTTCTCTGTGCATTCTCCTGCGACAGGGACATTCCACCTTCCCTGTCCAACTGGTGGAGCTTGGTAGATGGGTTCAAACCCTAGCTCTGCCACTCACTTGCTGTGTGACCTTGGGCAAGTCACCTCACCTCTCTGTGCCTTCATTTTCCATCCACAAGAAGGGGGATCATCATACCCACTTCATAGGATTATGGTGAGGAATAAGCGCAACACGCCTGGCACATACAGGAACAGAAAATGTTAGTTCCAGCACCTTCTCCTGTTCTCCTTGCCCTGGTCTTATCCTCTGCTCCTTTACCAATTCTGATGATTTCTTGCTCAGAGTGACCATGGATTCTATAGGCAAATAATCGAACACCTTCGATCTGATGTCCTGCCAGGAGGTCATCAATTAATTTGTGTCATTCCACTTACATTTACAAATAACTATAACATGATGAGCACTGTTTTTAGAATGAAAACAAAAATATGGCATACGGACAAAGAGATGAGGGACTTACGAGAGATGGAGAGGAAGTATCCAGGGACTGAGAGGGGAGAAGTGGACATCTGCAGTGCCACTGCTGTGTGCTGGGCGTGGAGGACCCCCAGGCTCAGGAGGAGAATGGGGCCCAGCCTGGGCTTTGGAAATGCCGTAGCACAGTGTGAGACAGACACGCAAACCCAAATGTCGGGGGTGCCCGGTAGAGACAGTGGTTTTACTGTCTTGCATGAGCTGGGGAAAGCTTTTGAGAGGAGGTGATAGAGGAGCTGGGTGCCGAAGGATGAGTATTTACCAGGAAGGGTATTTTAAACAAGAATGACCCATGTAAAGGCCCAGCGGCATCAAAGAACAGAGTATTTGGAAAACAGCTGGTGTCTCTTTAGAATAAGTGAAATTTTCATTTATCATAGGACCAGACACAGAGTAAGTACTCAGTTGAGTGATTGAGCATGGGTCTAGCACATTGGTTCTGTTAGATCGTCCATGGATTTGCCCCCAGCTCTAAGCCCACATTCCTAGGGATAGCCCCATCATCTTCCAGGAGGAGGACAGCCTCAGGGTCAGAGGGAGGAGAGAAGTGAGCTCCAAACAAAGGGAGGCTGTGAAGTGGGCTAGTTTCCTGCTTCCCAGGGGCCTGTGCAATGTCTCTCCTGCCCGGGGCTGGACGTTCTGTTCCCTTCCCCAGACAGAACCCGAAGGTTGGGCCAGCCCTCTGACCCAGGCTCAGCTAACGGGAAAGCGGGCCGCACTGGGCCCCAAGTCATCAGCTCACCGTGATGAGGTGGGCCCTGGAGATTCCGCCAGCCCTGGGCAGCATTTAGAGAAGTACCAGGCCGAGTCATCAGCTCTGTGCGGTCACTGCCTGCCGGGGCTGCGCAGGGTGAGTGGGGAAGTAATAGATTGCGGCACTAAGCCATGGGAACCAAGTGTCGGGGCACTGGAGCTCTCTCCCTGGGTCTGTTACCAGAAGCTGGTTATGTAATCGGCTCACTCATGCCTTCAGCAAGCATGTATTGAGGGGCGACTGGGCGCCAGGCACTGTTTCTAGACTCTGGAAATATAGCTGGAACAGATACAGAGACCCTGCCTCAGGAAGGTGGCATTCGGGTGGACAAATGGAT